ACGTGAGTGCCGTCAGCGAGTGTTTCGGTGTGTAAGCAGGCAGCGTGTGTCTTCTGGGGCTGCAGCAAGTGTTAACCCTTGTTCCTGTGAAATCCCCCCGTGGCAGAGGGGTCCTTGCTGTAGACTGGGCACCGTTTCAGATCCTGCCAGGCCAGCGAAGCATCCGGGGGCTGATGCTCCTCCGCTTGCCGGCTGGGTGCTCTCCTTTGCCGAGCAGCTCCGGGAGCTTGACTGGGAGAGGGCGGAGGGGCAAGAAGTTCATTTCTGTGTCTGTCTTGGTAAAATGACCAAACCTGCTGTTTCCTGCCGATGCACGTGGGGTTGGGATGTGTTTCCGTGTGCTTCTACTGAGGTGCAGACCCGCTCTGGGATGTTCTGCCGAGCCCAGCCCCAAGAGCTGCCGGAGACAGGAAGGAAAACGAACTACGCTCAAGATAGACACGTTTGCTCTATATTTAGAAGTATAATAATTAAGGCTGGTTGTTTATCCTGACAAACATGGTAATTAATAGTCTGCAAATCCTTCCTGCACCTGGGAACTGTGAGTTGTCTCTGGGAAGGGCAAGGGCCTCATTAAAGACCTGCCGCTGCTTGTGAGAAAAGCTGCTGTTTAGGGAACATCTGGCTGTTTGCTTTATCCCCTCCCCAGGCACGCGTGGCGGGGTGCTGGCGGCCTCTGAAGCCGCGGTGAGGGTGCTTTTGTGCCCAGCCCGTGTGTAAGGGCAGGAGGGTCCTGCCAGTCCCACGGAGCAGAAGGCTGTAGGGGAGGTGATGGGTGGGCAGCGCTGCCGGGGGGTGCTGCGAAGAGGAGAGCAAGGATGCTTGGCGGCACCCGGGGGTGCAGGGGCGTAGGTACCAGCGTGCGGGAGTTTGCTCATAAATGTGGTGGGAAGTCTGGCTGGTTGGTGGCACAGGCTGGCTGGGCACCAGGAGACATCCCAGAGCGCAGGGAGGTGGCAGGCGGCCGGGATAAGCTTTTACCAGCCTTGGAAGGAAGGGCAAGAAGCTTATGAGGACGAGCGGCTTCGCACTCTTCCCACTAGATGGGGATGGAGGCATTGCGCAGAGCGCACCGGAGCTCGCCTGGATGCCGCCCGCAGAGAGCACTCGCACTCGGCGCATCTTCTCTCCGGGTGGGTGCTGTGTCAGCGGGGTGTCACCGCCCGGCTCTCCCGGGGGGCTCAGGGCTGACAGGGTCTTGCTTCTCTCGCAGATGCTGCAGGACTGCCCGAAGGCCCGCAGGGAAGTGGAGCTGCACTGGAGGGCATCGCAGTGCGCGCACATCGTCCGCATCATGGACGTCTACGAGAACCTCTACCAGGGGAGGAAGTGTCTGCTCATCGTCATGGAGTGGTGAGTGCCCAGCAGCGCTGCTGTGGGTGGGCTCTTCCCTGCGGGCCGGTGCCCAGAGGGCAGCGAGCACCTTCCTGCACCGCTGTCGGGGTGCTGGGGACCCCAGGGAGATGCTGTGCTGGGGGATGCAGCCTGCGAGCCCCAGGGATGCTCGCCCTGGATGTGATGCTGCACCGTTGGCATTGGAGGGATGGTGGGAGCTGCGCTGGCTCTGAGTCATTCTGAAAACTTGCTCGGCTGTCGGGAGGCTTCGGGCCTGTGGTTCTCGCTGCAGATCGGTCATAACCAAACTTGCTTTGGCCATTGAAAGTCGGGGTAGTCAGCGGGTTCCTGCGGTGGGGTCTGCTGGGCAGCACGCAGCCGAGCCGGTGCATCTGTTAACGCCCTTGCACCTCTTGAGCAGCAGTTGAGCAGCTCTGATTTGGGTAGATCTTTGATATAACCTGGGGAGGAGGAGGAATGAAGGGGAAAGTATTGAAACCACATCCCAACCGCAGCTGTGATTTGATGCAGCTTCCTTGCCAAAACCTCTCCTCTGGCAAGCTGGTAGGTTGCCTGGGGGGGCAGCGGGTGTGAGGAGCGCTGCGAGCAGCACCGGGGCAGGCAGCACGGCAGCCACCCCAGCGGGCTCTGGGGGGGCCCCTCGAGCGGCGCTCGGGGGGGAAGAGGCTTCTGAAAACTGCACCAGGACACTGGGCAGCCGGGGATGGGAAAGGTTTGTGCAGCGTGTCTGCTTGTGTGGGAAGAAAGCAGTAGCTGAATGGTAGGAAATGAGTCCCCAGGGCGATGGCAGCTCCCTGCAGCGTGTCTCTGCGAGAGCTCCCCGCTCTCCGAGGGATGCTCTGGGTGTAACGCCCATCACAAGGCAGCGTTTGACTTTCAGCGTGAGCACGGTGTGTCTCCTCGCAGGCTCCGTGCAGCAGTTGGCCCCAGCGGCCGTGCGCTATCTGTATTGCAGATGTCCAGCGAATGAATGTCAAGGGTGCTGGCAGGAGACGCTTCTGCACTGGGAAAGCCAGAAACTGTTTCTGCTCGAGTTAGATAAGGCAGGGACAGGAAGCACCATTGCCCCTGTTCTCATGCAGAATTATCCCTGATCTCACTCCTGATCTCTCTGGGAGCCGAGTTTTTCCTTAGGGTACCTGGGGAAGGAGCCGTGCCAAGGTTTCCATGCTCTTTCTCCAACACCTTACGTGAGAGCTTGCTCTGCTGCAGTGGGGTTCAGTCTCTGCCTCCCCCGTCCCATCGGCGAGCACATGTCAGTGCTGCTGACACCGTGTCCCTGCCACGATCTTTGCTCAGCACTTCTGCACGGGGTTGGTGCGCCGGTAAGGTGGTTGACTTGTGAGCTAAATGAGGCCAGGCGTGCCGGGAGCGTGCTCTCCAGATTTGAGCCACGTTTGCTGTCTTTACTGTAAATGCGTTTCTGTGGGCTGGTGGGGAGACCACGTCCGCTTGCACCCGGCGTCTCCACCACCGGTGCGAAGCCTCTGCCCCGCTCATTCCTGGAAAGAGGAGGCTCTGAGACACCCCGTGCCCAGAAGCACCGACCCAAGGGCTTGGATGCAGAAGGGGTTTGTTTCTTGCTGAGCTTGTGCAGCTCCTGGCTGAGCATCAGAGGTTTCGGTACCACTTGCACCAGCGTGAGACGAGTGCTGCAGCATCTAACGCCACCTGCTTCTCTTCCAGCTTGGACGGCGGGGAGCTTTTCAGCCGAATTCAAGACAGGGGAGACCAGGCCTTCACAGAAAGGGGTATGGAGCCCATGGGGACCTCGGGTTTCATCTTTGGACCGTGTCTTGATGTTTATAGGAGTGTCTCTGGTCCAGCCCGTTCCCTCAAGTGTTCTTTTGAATCCCCAGCAGGGTTTTGCTCTTGGGGAATGAGGAATTGGGTGCGAGGGGTCCTGCTTTTCCTGCTCACTTGAGAGCAGGGTTAGGGGATGTTCTCTCAGCTGCCCCCGCACCCCATCTGTCCCACTCCAGCACAGGCAGGAGCTTCAGTGACCTTCAGAAACCTCCACCTCCATCAAAAAAATGAAGTCCAGGGGCTGTGCTTCTCATAGATCTCATTAATCTCATTCCCTCTGTCCTGTGGCCAGGCAAAGCATCCGCAGAACCCAAACCCTGAGCCCGGTGCCCCTTGGCTTCCCATTCTACAGGGAAAGCTTTCCCAGCTGGAGTTTCTTTCCCGTTTGCTGCAGATTCCTGACCTGGGGATGGGTGCTGGGGGGCCCTGCTTGGAAAGGGGGACTTCAGGTAGAGGAAACCCCTTTGACTTCAGCCAGGCTCTTTGGTTCCTGGTTTGTAGAGTAACCCAGGGAGTGGTGCTCATTTTAACTTGCTTATAAAGGCTTCTGATGGGTTTTTTTGCTGCTTCAGAGGCTTCAGAGATAATGAAGAGCATTGGGGAAGCCATCCAGTACCTGCACTCGATCAACATCGCGCACCGGGACGTGAAGGTACCGTGCTGCACGCTCACCCGGTGGTGCCCAGCCCCGTTTGGCACGTGGCAATGCCAAGGCTGCTCCGGCTCTTCTGCTCACTACTTCTTCCCTGTGTTTTCACAGCCGGAAAACCTCTTGTACACCTCCAAAAGACCCAATGCTGTGCTAAAACTCACAGACTTTGGCTTTGCTAAAGAAACCACCACGCACAACTCCTTGGCCACTCCGTGCTACACACCGTACTACGTGGGTAAGTGGCTGGGGGGTCTGAGCGTGCAGGTTTGCAAAGCTGGAGCGCAGAGCCAGGAGGTTTGGACGGTGCCACGCGCAGCCCGTCACCTCTGCATCCAGCCCGGAGCCTCGGTCGTGGCGTGGTGTTGGGGTCAACCCCTGTCTGGGACGCTTGGGACTGGGGGCTGCTTTGGATGCAGGTGTGTGCCGTGTTTGCCGCTCGCTGGTGCGCGCAGGACGGGC